ATTGTGTTACGCGAACGGACGAACAATGCTTGTTACATGGACGCTCCCCCGTGTTGCATGGCATTGCGCTATGAAATGCACAGACGCCTAGACGCCTGCAACTTCCTTCTGCCACGCTGCGTACTGCTTGAAACGATTAAACGCGAAACAGACATCTATTATTGCCACTCCCGTGAGATACGTGAGAGTATGGAAATTCGACGAGAGTTTCGGCAGATTTAAGATACCGATCGGCTCCCCATGTTCAAGATAAGAAGATAATTCATACAATATTTACTGGAACGCATATTAAATAATACAATATAATACATATACAAGGTGTCCCACGTAACACTTTTCACGATTTTTTAAGTACTTGCGATAATCTGACAAAAAAATATTTGCAACAAAATTCGATCAGTTTTCGGTTGGCTATACATTGCAAGAAAAAAATTGGAAAGAAGAATTCTTTACTATTGTCGATGTCACGTAAAGTTATATGGGCACGGAGTATTACAGAACTTCATAAAACATTTAGAAAGAGATAAACAAGTTAATTTCATTATATAATGACATTTATGAAGTTTCACAGAAATGACTAAAGTTACTTCAGAAATTCGTGGCAAGGGAATTTTAATTTTACTTCGCTTTTTATCAAGTTTGTGAATAGACAGCTTTTTAATTAAAACTGTACGTTTTAATTTATAATTAAGAGCGCACGACAGTATTTCGCCCTTCCAAAGCTAGTGGATGTTTCAAAGAAGTGCATTGCTGCTTTCGACATGATCCTTTCTTCAAACGCTGTGCCTTCGATACGGTACACGCGACTAATCGGTTTACAACCGGCTAGCGCAAAAAATGGACGCGTAAGCGTATCAAGTCTAAACATGCACAGATTATTAATTAGGCGAAACTCTTGTTATTTTCACGTTAAGCATATAAATCACGAAACGGGATTTTTAAGTTCGCGACGTTACAATTATCCTCTGATCTGAAATACGAGATGGAAGATTCTGCGAATTTCTCCAATTTGTCGTGACATAAAACAACGGTAAGAATTAAAACTTTGAACACAAAGTTAACGCGAACAAGGATGTATCAATTGCAAATCCAATTATAGACAAATCAGAAAATCTCCGTGAAGAAGATAGTGGAAAGTAGTAAAATGATAAAATCTCCTGTTTAAACTCGTTTTAATTAAACAGATGTCTTATTGCTTCAAGTAACATTATTTTAACAATTCTCTACGATCTTGCGATTTTAGATTCCGACATTCGCACATTGATAACTTGGAAAATTCAAACGTCTGAATATTCGTAGCTTGGAATATTCAAAGTTATATTCTAAAATTCAAATTAAAAGTTTGCAAGTCAGATACGTATCGTTCACATATTTGAGACTTCAAACTGAAAGTTTATACTTCGAATCTTGTGATGAATTCATTCCATCGAGAATAGCAACTTATACGCAAGCTCGTTATGTCAACATCAATGAACGCATCAAGGCGGATATAATTACTGGTTGATTGACTCGCAATTACACTAGCCGATAGGCTTCACCTTAATGTCTTATTAAACATGAGTATGCCTACTATCCTTCATAATCAGTCACTCCAGAAATTAGCCAATTAAACAGTATCACTTTGATCTACAATCTCTAATGACATATATTATTATCGATAGTTGACATGAATTTCTAGATTAAAATAATCTTAATCTCACTACTAATAACAATTAGAAAGATTTTTGAGATAGCCTACCACACAGCAATGCAATGATAACGCAGTAAACCCTATCAAGTTAGATCTTGATCGTGCAATACTCCGTCAATGTCGCGAATAATTGGCTCCCATCAGCGCGTCCGTGTGTGTGTGTGTGCGGATAGGATTATCGCGATCGCTAATCGACAAGTTACTATCTCCTGGCAACAGTCGCCGATTCGACGAACGATCAATTCAATCGATTGATCTGGCCATAATTCCTCCGATTTGTTACTTAGTTTTTGACAAATTATATAAAAGATCGGAGACAATTTAAGAGATTCATAATAAAAAAATTAATCTTTTTTTAAATGAGATCTGAACTGCATTTTTTAGAAAGTACAAAATCGGTTTTCGTATATTGTTTATAGCACGCAATATCTAGACGTTACTGTACGTCAATCTTTATAACATTTTCATTCATAAAAAGAGTATAATATGTAATACATAGAAAAATCATTTGCCAGATTATGTAGAAAAGAAAAAAGACATGTCCCAGGACGAAGTTCCAGCAGCAACTGTCAAATTAACTGTCGGATGGAAAATGCGTAGGAGGCGACGCCGACGCGACGGCAGCTTTTCTCTCCTGCGTTTGTTCTCGCACACAGTGATTCGTTTCCCCTCTGGAAACTAGAACGCGTGTATCCAGCGTCCCGTTAATCCAACAACGTCAAACAGCTGCATGCTTTCCAAGCAAACTACACTACCTACACCTACCCCGTTCGCGTTCACGTGTGCGTGGGGTTATCGCGGGCTTAACCCGCGCCCAGCTTATAAATCCAATTGGATTTTAAAGCTTTGCGGCTGGAGCTAGTCATCCGAAGGGTGTCGATTGTTGCGACGCAGGGACGCTGAGTCACCATCACGTGCGAGAACAATCGGCCACGAATTTCCGACAAGTTCCGGTCATCGATTTCGTAGTTCTTTATAAAAAAAAAAGAGATGTCCATTGGAATAAACTAAAAGGTCTCGAATCTTGCCAAAATTAATTTCGCTAAGATTTTCGAATAAAGTCAATAAATACTGTATTACGTAGGATAATAATTCTTTTCGCCCAGTAATTTAACTTTAACCGTTAAATGAATGTGGGTAAGGATATTTTCTTTCAAGAGGAGAAGTGAACCATGATGCATTTATTGGAGTAAAATTATCTGAAATTTCTATATAGTATCTTGTCTAGTCAGCATGTCAGAACTAATTTCATGTGTCGAATGCGCACGTCCGGCATCCGGTTCGAGTCGAGCTATTGTCGATGCGATCGAGATCGACCTACATAGATGGGAAAATTATGTGGACTGGCGCCGAGGGCGAAGCGTGACGCGCTACTTGCAATACGTACGTCTAACGTTCCGTGATCGTCGCGCATCGCGTCGACGTTTGATCTTGGTTAGCCTTGATAATGCCCTCGTAATTCCCCCAGCCGGTGCTCGTATTTCCTCGGCAACGGGAAACGGAGTCGTTAACGTTCACCACGTGGAAAGCTTGCGCGTCGTTAATCAATGAATTCAAACTAAACAGTCTGATGAAATGAACATTCTTTAGTCGTATACTCGTGACTAAACGTTCCCAACGTTGTCGTTGCACGTCGAAAATGTAAATAATTGTCATTTGCGTAAATATTGAGAAAATTATAAGAACATGCCAGCAGAATGATTAAATTCACAGTTTCATTTTACGTTCGTTTAATTCAATCTTTCAATTAGCGGAAGCTAAGATTTAATTCCTCTGCAATGTAATAACTCGGAAATCCAACATTTATCGTTGTAAGCATCTCAATTTTTTTAATGGAAGAATGCAACGCGATTATTTAAATCCGACTTAAAAACTGCGAGGATAATAAACAGCTGCGTCATAAATTCGACGATGTATCCCGAAGAAACAATTCCCCGTTATACGTAATTTCCTATCGCAATTACATCCCAACATTTGCTTGAACAATGCACGTAAATGCATCGTTACGCACACGAATAAATCGTGAACGATGTACATACATACATAAGTCAACGATTCAAAACGCGCGTATTAATAACCAACTTTGTTTTGTCATAACTGCAATGCGGTTTCCTCGTTCGCCGATCAAGAGGCATAATTATACGCCAGATAATGTAATTGATTTTATACTTGACACACGTACTTAAGCGAAAATGCGGCTGAACGTGTCCGTTAAACAGGGGTGCATCAATTTTATCGTCCGCGTTCGAAAGTCGATATTGCGATTCGAAATAAACTGAACCGACCAAATGAAAGATTACGATCAACTCGCTGCGATTATTCTCGCTGGGTAACTACACACGTAACCCAAAGCGATCGATGGACTCGTTGCAAATTAGTAGCCAATCCACGCATCGATCAACTGCGAATCGGATTCCCTAATGCATTGCACGATATCCGATGCTTGCTAAATATTCGGAACAATATTTCTGTAAAGTCATCCATAGATGTACATACATAACTCACACAACCTTTTAGTAAAAATCTACATGATTGAAAACATTAAGTCTAATCATACCTTGTTTATTTGAATTCATTACACAATGGGGAAGTTTTATAGTGTATAATACCATGTCGTATATAGTGAATAATTTTAAACGACATCTCTTATTGATTTAGCCAATGTGAAAAAGTAGACATTTTGTATGTCTCAATTAAGTGAACAAATCTCGGCGATTTGTAAATTAATCTCGAAGAAAATGGATCCCTGAGGAGTGCAACGGTACAAAATACCGATGGCGCAATTTAACAAGGAGGTGCGGGGGGGGAGGTGAAATATCGCGGATAACTTCGCTTTATAACGCAGGTTATTAAGAGTTCTGCCAACAATTTCACGGTCCATTTTGCCGGAAGACAGTTTGAGAAAACGCAGCCGTGTGCACTGTGTACCGAGTTTCTGTACCGTTTCGAGTTGAGAAATCATCCGAGATATGATACGCTATTTTTTTATCGAGTAACCACCGAGCTTTCGTGTGTCGTTCGACGTGAAAATAGGCCGAGCTCGTTACCGTTCCACGACAAATTGCTATCATTTAACGCCGCTAAAAGATCGCCAGTGGAATTGGAAGCTTTCGCGCAACGATACCCCCGCCTTCTAAGCCCGATATACACGCGAAACCGGTCGTGGAATCGCGCCAAAAAGTTTCGGGCAACTGAGGGTTGATTCGGAAGAATGCGAGGGAGAAAACATCGGCGCGTCCCGTTCACTTCTCTACCAGTGACCGACTCGCGCTACGGTGAAAAATAATCGAACGGAACTTGGTCCACTCACCCCGATTCTTCTGTGACTCCTGCCTGGCCGACCTTCGGGTATCTCGGGGATGAATGGACGAGCATCGGGAGTGAAACGGATCAATGCGTCGATGCTACATTCAGGATCGCTTCAACCTGCAATCAAATACGAATTCTCCTTTCAAACTCCCATGCAATATAGAAGAAAACAGAAACCGGAAAGACAAATTGCTTTCATAATGCATTTTGTATAGTCTTTTCTCAATTGCCAATTTTTATACGGAATATACAACTGGTCACAAACTCAATACCGGATTTAATTTTTGCAAAAATGTGACGCGGACACTTTATACTATTATTACATAAACTTTATAATTCAGACACATCATGCACACAATTTCATATAGTTATATAATTCTTTTTCCATTTTGAACTTATTCGATACATCGAAATTTTCAAACTTCGTTTGGTATGTACGAAGAATTCGATCACGCACGAAATCCACTTGACTTCGATCAAATCCTAGAAACTGTAGTCGAATTTCGGAATTGGAACTCTCGGTCAGATATCAGGCGCGTACCACGTTCCCCATTGATATAGCAATTCTTGTCGGGTTACAATTTCTGATCGGCTTACATGGCCGCATGCGCGCCCTGTCTGACACCGATAGGAGACCATGCAATTGTCTCTCATCCACCGTCCCGTGAGCATAATCATCCCTGTGGTGAAATTCCAAATCCCCTGTATCCTGTTTGAAACTGACCCGTGTCCCCGTCTCGTCTAGTTTGTCACGAAACATCACGAGGCTTAGCGACGCGTTTTAACACGTTCGAGGTCTATCAATAGCGGTTCGTTTCGTTCTCGACGATGTACAATTTTATCGCCTTGCGGTTCACCGAGCCCAAGGACGCTAACTTTGATCCGGAGGAAGTTCGAAACCGGTCGACCGGCTCCAGTACGACCGAGCAGAACTATAAATTACAGTTACTTTGCTTCAAATCGAACTTTCAACTGTCCTTGCGACGTTAGATCACGATCCATATTCTCCTCTTCCTTGATACTCCTTTACTCAATCAAAAAACGGTAAATCAAAGAATTAACTTGAATATTCTATAATGCACATTTAAAATCGATGTATCTGTAACTCGACAACGGCGACTAAATCATTCCCAAGACCCGATTATCGTACCGGAAGCTCTCCGTAACGTAATTGCAAATCGATGTGACAGACGAGGCCACGAGGAAGCTGTCGATATTCAGGTGCGAGCTCATAATCCTAGGTAAAGCCGCCTCATCCTGGATCACCAAGAAAATGCCGCGAGGTTCCGTGAAACGCGTGCGTTAAATGTTGAACACGGGAATGGCGGGCCAATTGCGAATTCCGCGGCTCGATCACAGCCCCGGCCGGCTCGTTTCCGAAGCACACCAATCACGCTGATGAACCCGAGCACGGCGAAGCACGCGTGTCCGACGCAGCCACCTCTGTTTTTCGGAACTTTCCTATTCAATTGCTCGCCGCCGATGAACCGCTAATTGCCGTGTACTTTCGCAACAATCGACATGCACAAGCTCGTTTGCTAGTCCTAAAGGTTTCCCTTCTTTTTTATTGTTGTTAGTTCTGTTTCCCTCGAGTCTAGTTACTCAGCGATTGATCTGTTCCACCCTATACTGTGGATTCCTTGGCTGTTTGCGCAACGTGCACCACGGACTGATTTACTTCAACTGCACTGACCGCTAAGAAACTACGTGACCGAACAAAACTGCTGTTCCGTTGACTTCTGCTGTTTGTTTTTGCATGACAATCTGATACTATCTTTACGCGAAACGAGATAAAACAATATTATTTTTGTACACAAGAAAAATTTAATCACTAATTTGTCGATGATCAATTTTTTTAAATGAAAGAGAAACTGATTTTCAGACTGATTCTGTACATAAAATAGAGGATCTCACTGTGATTAAACATCAAAGGAACGGCAAGTGTCAGAAAACATTAGAGCAGGAACAGACGGATGTCGAACCAACAGGAAGGACTGGAGGTGGTTCAAGGCGGGTTGCTTGTCTTACAATTACGAGACTTCGATGTATGCTCGCGAATACGAACAGGACCGCGTCATTAAGGACGGAAACGTTCAGTAATTGCGCGAGCTAGCATGAAACTAGCTAAAACCAGTTGATTTTGAGGTTCTCCGCAGAATGCGGCGGCACAAGGGAGTTCCCTTGATTCGTGTTTGCGTTGAATACCTCTAATCATGTTTGACATTTAATCTATCTTACACGAGTGCCAAGACGCCTTTCTTCCACCATAGTATCTAATTGTCATATTGACAAAGGCAACAAATTATAGATCAAAGAAATTATCTGAAGTAGATAGTTGATGTATTACAAAGGATAAAGATAAAGAAGCAAATAAAAAGGCGAGGTGATCGACGCTAGCGGGGGTTAATCGCGAAACAGAATTCCGATAATTTAATAGGCGACTGGCTTCGCGAATTGCGTGATCCGCGCCGTGAGAAAAACGACAAGGTATTACGAGGCAATTTCTGTACCGGTTCGTAATAAGATACAATAATCCAGCCGGGTAGGGGTGGATGGCATCGATATCTCCATGCAATTTATCGGATTCGCGAAACGAGATTCCACGAAGGAACAGGGCACAGAAATTGATTTGCAAGAGCCTCGTGTCCGTTTTCCTTGATTTCGCATGGAACTGTATCGATCGACTTCTTATCGACGAACCACTCTGAATATACAAATATTATTTCCCAAAATCTCTCCAAAACTCCCGTCTCGGTTATTCTTTAAATTGTCCTTGATAAAAATTTAATCAATTTAAGAACTCGAATTATGCTGTTAGCTATATGTATTAGAATTTACTTTCTGTGAAATCAGAAATGATGATGATGAGACATAACAGAATTGGAAGTCATCGGGAAATGCAAGCCTCAGAAACAAGCGAAGTAAACTACGTTCCCAATTACACGTTACCATGGAAGATGTCATACCACAGACATATCTGGCCGGTGTAGCGCCATTCGATGATAAGTATACCACGAGAATGTGATTGCACGAACATGAATATCTACAAATCTTAAGCTCGTAAACTCGGTCATTATTAAGGATAACAGGAATCTAAACTTATCAATAAACTGAAACGGCAAGGGAAGAGAGAAATTAATCGATTTCGCTGAGAGTGGATTTAAACTTTGAATTACAGAGTCGCATATTTCAGATTCACTACATCAGATTCCACCAAATTTAATATCAAATTCCATTCGAACTGCGAAATATTACATTCATAGGAGATAACAAAGAAACAAGATATAGACAGGTACACGCCATTTGTTCTCTAATCCATTTCCGGAATATCGGCTGCACCAAGAAACAGTGGTGTCGGCGGGAAAAATCCGCTATCACGATTGGCACTCTTTCCACGCATTTCAAAGTAAAAGATCGACGAGGTTTGCGTGGACATATCGCGCGACCATTGATAACGTATGCAATAGTTCGTGTTCCGCGGCGTCCGGTCAATTTCCATGCGAAATAACGCCCACGCGTTAACGTTCAAAATCGTTTCGCGCCGTTATCCCTTTCTATTCATGGATTTGTTGTGATTTCCCATAAAGTTTTAGATGCAGTTATCATTTTTTGTATCTAACTTTACAGACTTTTTCTGTTATGCTGATTTTAACGTTTTAACAAAAATTTTTTAATAGCAAGCTGGTTAATTCCATTGTTTTCGAGATACATTCGAGACGAGAATATCGATGTGGACAACCTTTAACGAATGCAAATCGTTAATCGCAAGAATTATGTAGAGGGAATGTGACTAAATTGATAGCAGAGAGAGGCAATCGATAAACAAGATCGATTAAAACGTGAACGATACGCAGTGATACGTTTGCGCATTTGTCTGTTCAATCCAGCATCATTCAAGATTAAAACCTGAGCGGCTAAGTAAATTTGTCTAGCCGGCTTTCATCGATGCTTCTGCGATTTATTCAGCCAGTTCTCAACTACGAATCCGGGTCGTCCTTTCACTCACCGCGTTCACGTCAGTAACGACGCAATTTTTTCGTCAACGGATATTTGTTCGCCCGGAACAACACGGAAACCATCCTGAAGAAGCTGCGACAAAAGCGTATCTACCAGTTTATTCGATCGCGTTCGTCCGATTCTTTAAGCTTTCTCAAAGGAAAGTGACCAGAGCGCTTCAAACCGAAAAAGAATCGAACAAACAGGAAGAGGGTGGACAGAGAAATGAACCCAAGTCTTTGAATAAATTACGAGTTTTTAAGCAAAATAAATCGTCTATGACGTCAATTTAAAAACTGTAGTTCTTTTAGCATTTAAGCATTTTGATGTGGATGCAACTTTTGATATGTTGTATATTTTCTGCGCATTAAATTACATTTAAATAGGCGTCCAATTATATCCTATGGAGCATAAATGTCAAATATTCCTTTCATATTTATCGTGCATAAATATTCGAAGTCTATTCATCAGATAAAATTTAGAATGCTCTCCTAATTTCAATAGGACTAATCCAGATTAGGAGAAAACTCGAAGAGGAGTGAGTCGATAAGGAAGGATGAATCGATACCATTCTAAATGGTATTTGCAAGTCATCATGATGCTATGATGCTAAGGGGAAGCCAAAAGGTACTTCACGAAGTTGGATTGTCAAGTGCAGTAATCGTCAGGGGAAGAACGTGACTGTTGATTCCGCAGAGGATTGCAATTGTTCCGTTTCTTCCGGTTAAAGGTACAGTTTTGATTCTAGCTAGTATCCACGACGACGTGACCGCTATTCTCGTCGGGTAGCTTCTCTGTATCCTCGGGAGAAGAAATCCCAGATGCTCCTTTGTGAACTCGCCCTACCGTCTACTCGAGCAGCGTACGAGATCCCTCTTCGGGGTAAGTGAATCAATTCTTTTGTTCATCTTCAAAATCATAGAATCTAATTGACCTTTTTACTTCTTACGTTTTGATCTTTTGAAGAAAAATACTTTTCTCAAGGATTTCTAGGTTTATTAATATACTGCGGACTTCTATTCCAAATAAAATTTGTATGCCACTTTAAAAGATGAAATCTAAATTGAGATTTGTTTTAGCTTTCAAACATAACGATTGTGTACTTGTACGTTTATAACCGT